ATAGAGAGGGAATAACGACCGCTTGCTATGACATGGAGCAGCAGCCTGATTAAACGGGAGCCCCTAGGCGGCTAGTAGCATGGAGATGGTTCACGCAAACCGTGTAAATCTGGACATTGAAAAAGACTGTTATAGTTCAGTGTTTATTGATTTGCATGCGTCTGCATATTTTCAGATCTGTCGGCCCAATGCAATAAGTCGTGAGTGTTACAACAACTGGAATTCCAGACCAACAAATTGGAACTTATTGGCCTTAGTCGCTACATGACCACAGAAAACTAGTCAGAAGCTCTTCAAAGATGGGCTAACGACCAGGGCATCGGAAACTGACAGATCCAATGATTCATTAATAGCACATCCGTCTAGTAGAACACACTGGCAGCAAACTAGAATGGAAATACTTAGAGTCATCATCCGCACTGCCGTGTAAGGAATTCGTTCGTTCACATTGGTGAACTGTTCCGTTCTCCATTTGAACTGAGAATATGAGGGTTAAAACAATCGAATATTTAAACGACTTAAGATGAATAGCATCAGGAAGTACTAATCATAACTTTGTTTATAGAACTCAGTCTGAAACCAATCGCCAGATCGTCATTCGCCGAAGGAGGCAGTAATATTTCTTGCCACTGTTGAACTATTTTGAGCATTCAGAAAGGCGAGGTCGAGTTAGGTGCAATTTCCTCCCCCCTATCAAGTACTGCGAACTAACTCTTGACTGGCATGCGCCCGTTTCTAGTTACCGTTATGTCAGACGTCTGAAACAAAGCGTTAATAAATTTTTAGTCGGCTCGTTGGCTACTTTTAAATACACCATTTCACTCATACAGTTATGCAGACGGACACAAATCGACTTCGTTCATTCAATGTTATGATCCATCCAACTCGTCAGACAACGACCACATGACCGACGAGGAAAAAAACCGAGTCAGCAAAGACAAGAATGGCAGCGGCAGCGAAGCGTCATGTGAGAAATCGCGTGTAGAACAGACAAACAGCGACATAAATCAAGCGAAAGGAAAACCTGCACGAGGCTTGATTGAGGGTGTGACCTTCGGCGCAGGTTTTGTTTGCGCACACGCACTGGCAGCTGTCGTTGGACCACTTCTGATTGAAACCTGCAATGCACAAACTCGGCTCGTTTTCACAACATCGACAACGATAGCTAGAGGAACAGTTCGGCTACCTGTGCACTGAGCTGCGTTTCTGCACCGGCACTCGCATCCGACCCGTTCTTGCATTTCGGTGCAAGCCACCTTTTTGGCGCACTGCCCACACCCACACGACGTGTGCCGCTGCATGGCAACGTAGAAGTCGCTGTGGCGAACGAACGGTTTATTCTGATTGTTAAATCCTTTAAAGCTCCAAGCCCGAACCTACAATATGCTCCAATCATCAACAAGTCGTGAGGTTTGATTCCTTGTCAAAATGTGCCACTGGTGACGTTCGGCAAATATTGTTCATTTCGCGTGCTTTCCGCCTCACTGACTTTTACGATAATTCTGTATTCAACTAACACACCTCAAAACCTCTAAACTTTGGCGAAATATGAAACAAGTTATTCAGTTGAACTGTAAAGCAGTCAAGGAAGCTGTTGAAAAGTGCCAGAGGCATGAAAATTGAATCAAATTCTGACAACGTCTGACAGCGGTGAAGAGACAAGTTTGCGTTGTCAAATCGGTAGACATCATTGTCACCAGCTACAGGCAACGGACCCTGAAAAGATTAACAGGTTGCAGAAAACCATTCTACCCAACGAAACTAACTAACTACAAAACCAAACTATAGAAAACCATTCAAAGTTTACCATACATGTTCCAAAAAAACCGACATGCAATAAGGCAACTATTGGATGCCGAATGTGCTATTGTTGCAAAATTCGTAGAATTTGGCAGTAAATTATTATTCATACTAATGATGCATTTACTTATGTCTGTGCGAAGGCGATAAAAATCTCAGACAATCGAATAACAATCGCATTAGTAATTTCTTTATATAAAGGACACTGCTTAAGAACGTCTGAAGAACTGCAGGTCAGATAATTTTTGACCAGTCTTCTGTAAGGACTTCATGAAGAAATTGGCGAACAAAGGTAAAACACTCCACGTTGCACAGCAGACATAAATAATTGGATTCTGAAATGGATTTAGTACGATGAATTATCTTCAGATGGTAGACCAAATAAGTCGGACAAGCAGTGAATGTCCGTTTCCCCTTCATCTAAAATTCGTTAAGCTCCAGAAAGTATTTGATTCAGTCGAATCACGATTAAAGCTGACTATTCTACGGAACCAGTGAATCGACAAGATGCACACTGACCTCATCATAATAAGCAACTATAACTCAATGCCACCATAAATCATATTGGAAACATAATCGAGCCCAAAGTCAGAAATAAAACTGTGTGGCAGGAATGTTGTTTGTTTTCGTCATCACAGCTTAAATAGCAACGTAGCTAAGATTTCTGATGTCTGACAGTTAGAAATGTTCCTCAGATTGATATTAGGCTATGTTTACTGCTGTTCTAAAGATCATATTCCTCGGCACAAGCAGATTTGCCTCAATGAGGTTTCTTCAAGTTTTGCATCTTCCTTAAACGCGTCTGTCTTCAGTGCAAGGTTTCCAAGCAAGAAAGGTTTAGAAAGTATTTCCATTTTTTAGACCGCTTTGTCAAACTAAGCCAGGCACCCCTGAGTTTGTCTGAGAGTTTTTTTTCTAACAGGTGGTTGTTAGAATTTGCTGGTTTGTGAGTCAGTGGTATACCGTCGCACTTCGAAATGCTGAGCAGACAGATTGGCTTTAAGCAGCCTCTGAAAAAACTTCTTGACACTTCAGGGCGGCAGACGTTTTGAGACCTTGTAAGAAGGCCGCGGAAACGGCTGCTTTCAGAATGGTGATCATCTTGTCCGTTTTTATAGTCCGATCCTTCCATGTATTAGACAGCTTGCCACTTTTATATGCCAATTTACTTCAAGACCAATCTCGCCATCCTTATTCAGCACAGTTTCACGGTATTTGAAAAGGCTCATTTCGTCAATCGTAAAACCATTCCACAATATCGTCAGACTCCCGGATACTCTCATAGTCTTCGTCTTTACGGTGTTCATATGTAGCCCATTCTGATAACGGTTTTGCATACGCTGTCTGTGAGTTAGTTGTGGAGTACCTCAACAAGCCAGTTGTGGAGTACCTCAGCAGCACGATATCATCGAACTACTCAATCTGTCAGGAATGCCACCAGTTGTCTCGAGCTACCACG